ACCGACGTCGCACTCACGACGCCGCCAAAGCAGCCGCCAACATAATCCTGTAAGCCGCCATTTTGTTTTTAACTCTGCTCGTCTTGGCTTTAGCCAACTTGTCATCACGAATCCTCCTTCGAGAAGCGCAAAGACTCTTTGCGTACGCACGCTATTTCCGAGAAATAGCGCTCGCTAAAATTGTGCACGCAAAGCGCAAAACCTGGTTTGCGTTCGGAGCATGCGCAGTGGCGACGACGCTATTCTTTGCGTGAGCAAAGCTTTAGCGTGCGCTATTCTAAAACTCCCTACTAACGCGGCCACCAGCGGCAAATCCTCCACGAGCAGCAGAGAAGGACAGTTTTCGAACGACGCTCTTTTTTGCACAAACTTTTGAGCAAACTTTATGTTTACCATAAAAACCACAGGAGAATTACGTTCCACCGCAGGCATGTGTATCCAACTTTCCACCGGTTCCGCCACTTCTGTTCACAAGTCGGGCTGATACAAGCTCCCTCGATGAAATTCACGCTTAATTCAATTCACGCAAGACAAACGCAAACCTATCGAGGGGCTTTAGGCTGATAGCCAAGCGCCACTGAGCGTACGCGACACGAAGAGGCGCCAAGCGTTCTTGGAAGCTTCTCAACTGACTTTGATTTGTTTTCAGCGACAGATCAAGAATGAAGTGGAAGCTCCTTCCACCTCTTTCCACTTTAGCAGAGCGAACGCCGGAGAGGAGGTCGCCTCTTCTCCAGCGTTCGCTCTGCTAAAATGAAGTAGGGTGGAAGGAGTTTTCCCTGAGCTCTTAACCTGTCGCCGCCTATTCGCAACTCCAACGCCCTATAGGTGGCGGGGCGGCAGTTCCAAGATGGTGGAAGAGACGGGGAGAGATTCTCCAGGATTTCCTGTGCGCCTGCTCGCTGACGCACGGTCAGCGAGCGCTAAAATTATTTATTTGTGTACAAATGGGGAGCGGTTAGAGAGGGATCATATTATAGGTGACAGATGTTGATGCACGTTAGGAAAACGAGCATGTTGATATTTAAAAGTTGCAGAAACCTCAACTTGCGTAGCTTTGTGGTGGGCGAGCGCGTTTTAAGCACCGGCCACGTCACTGTTTGTGGCAGAATATTTTTTAGGGTAATGAAGTTATCGTGTTTTCGCTTTGCCTGGCCATCAGCGTTCTAGAAACTGAGCCGCGAACGGTGACCGTGAAGCTTCGGAAGAGCAGCGTTCACAGTATTGGTGTCTTCGCGTCACAACCTTACAACTCGCTGCTCACCGTCTCGGTTTTAGTGTGTTGCAACACGTGAACAAAATTCTCTATGGTTATTGATAGAAAGTTTGTTACCGCAGGCTACCATGCGGTGTAGCATTACAACCGGAAGCTCGTGCTGCGCCTTTGAAGCACAATTTTCAGCGCGCGCCAGCAACGTTGCTGTACTCATCTCTTAGAAAACAAAAGAAAAAAAAAGGATGTAGTCCTTACACCCCTTTTCACATATACACCCCCCAAAACTTCAGTTCGTCGTGCAGCGCACGGACGTCAAACTGACGGCCCCAACTTTTACTAGAGGCTTGATGACGGCACAATATAAGATATTAAACAGTTTATGTACGCATCAAAAAGTATCAGAAAAAAGAAAAAAAAAAAACACCGAGGTTTTGCAGTAGGGCCCAGAAAAACCCCGATGAATTTTTTTTTTTTTTTTTTTGCGGTCATGTACACTTATTTAAGCTATTTTAATAAGTTGTGCAACTCGGGATATCAAGCCGCTCGTGAAAATTGGTAGCGTCGGTTGAACGTCAGTGCGCTGTACGTTCAACTGAAGTTTAGGGGTGTCGTATGCTATGTTAAAACTGCCTATTAACATAATCGGCGTGTTTAGGGGTTTTATTTATTGCTCTAGTTAAAAATAAATATTTTATTATGCCGTACATTTTTTTTGTACTTCGATATTTGCAACGTTGCGGCGCCTCTCGCCAAAACTGCCCGTTCTAAGGTCTCGTCACAAACGGCTGCCTAACACAGACGCGCTTAACGTGCTTCGAACATTTCTTTATTTGCTTTGTAATTACCTGAAACAAACTATGAGTATACTGTCTTTTAAAAGTGCTTGGAATAAATGGTCGTGTTACTTGTAATGGCCTTAAAACGCGAACCCCTTCCGGATGTGTATTGCTCGACATACCGCTACGCGACCAGTTTTCTCATACATATGGCACAGAATAGACTTTTCGTAGACCGTACTATAGAGCTCTTCATTATTAGTGGGAGCGTTTGCCGTCACGTTGAGCACAGATTGAGCAGGCGGTCATCCACAAGACCAGAAATCCGCAGCGTAGGCTATATACGAAAGGCCCCTAATGAAATTAGACATCCGGGGCACAAGAATTCAGACAAGGCGGGGCACAAGAATTCCTTTTTTGAACGCGCTCACTTTTTTCGATAAAACGGCTTTACGTACGGCAGCGGCCGCGCCGCCGCGGCCGCTGCCGCGGCGGCCCGCAGCCAGCAATATTTTTGAAGGAAGGGGGAGAAGGGGTCCCCCCATTCTCCCCCTTCCCTAAAATGACGGCGCGCGAGGTGTAAAAAGAAAGGAAAGGAAATAGAGTGTTTCGCTTGACCCGCGACACAGCGCTAAAACCTCGCACCACCCTAAGTAAAGAGAGGGGAAAAAAAAGGGGGGAATTAAGTCCCCCCCGCCCCCTCTTTTAGGGGCCCGGATACCGCAGTTGTGACGTCGAACATTAGTACCATGGGAATCAGGCATAAGTCTGAACTTCATGGAGCGGATATGTGCGACCACTGGACTAACTTTGCTCTGCGGCACGTTCACTTTCCGCGCGGTGCAAACAGACGCTGTTGTGACGCCACGCGAAGACTTCCGGGAGAAATCGGTCGCTTCTTTCGCTCCATGGAGTTGAGCCTTTAAACACTCATAACGCGCCAATTATAGAGCGAACATTTTTGAAACGCGCCTCGTAGAGAGGCAAATACAGCATATGCTGCCTGGCTATTCAGCAAGGCGCATATGAAATCCGAGACTCAATTTATTAGCGAAGCAGAGCTGAGCTTTTTCGTGCGAACGCCCGAGTAAGCCCTGGGGAGCACAATGAAGGTGGCGGTTGCGCAATGCCGAGAACGAGCCGCCAAACGGCGCGCCGTTGACCATGGCCGCGTGAGATATGGAACACCGACCCGCCGGCCTGGACTGGTCTTGGCGTCGCCGTTCAATGTTACATTCATCGGCATTTCCGTTCTTCGAGATTGGGCTGAGGTATAGCGACCGCACAAAGAACAACTCCGCCCGCCGACGCAAACCAGGCGTACATACTTCGAACTTGCGATTCGCGTAAACAGAGTTGCAGGTCCAGTGCTTGCGAACGGTCAATGCTGATTGCGCTTACGTGAGTCAAGTTTATGCTTCCATTCGTGACAATATTTACACGTTTGTTTTCTACAGAGCTATACCGACATAGCACATATCTTGATACTGTCGGGGGATATGAACGTTCCTAAGAGGCCCTATAGACGGCATCTCGATTTTCAACAGAAATCGAAGTCCGAGGTGTAAACTTTAATTTCTTAGCGTGATACTGGAAAAAGAAAAGAAGAATAAAGGAGTCGCCTTTACTAGTACAGCAATGACCGAGTCACAACGTAAATGGAGCTAGCAGTCCAGGCTCCAACCTTTTGACATTGGTGCCAACGGCATAGTACCGGAGCTGTTTCAAAGCTTGGCCTACAGCGCACATTGTCTGTTCATGCTTATATTACGCGTATCTTGTACATTTGTACGAAATGGCCGAGCAAATCGTAATAAAGCAAATAGAATACGGTTGCCGATAAGTGTTGTTTGGAGACTCATGATGAGTCATACGCAGTGCACACAGGCGATTGTAAACTTCGCATTTGTCTGTGAACATTTTCTATCTAAGTATGCTGCACTTTCGCACAGCAAAGATTGCACGAGCTCGTGCGATGGTTGTCGTGTCACGAGGAGAGTTCGATTTGAAGTTCAAGCTCGAAGGCATCTTGCGCATCTCGGTCCCCTTAGCAAAACCTTGGTTTTCGACGCAGGCAGTGTGAAAACGATTGAAAGTTTAGAATACCTGGGCTCAAACCCTCTAAATCCCGTCTTCAGCAACCTCAAACGGTAGATGGCACCTCGTACGGATTTTGGGAACGCCCAGTGCGCTGTCTTTCTTCGGCTCGACGCAGGCATGCGTAAAGAAAGGTAACGGTACAACGAGAAATGCCGCCTCTTGACGACACACCGATAATTAAGTCAACGCCAGTCTCATCTCGCCCCGCCCAGAAGAGGAAGAGTCGGTGAGTGTCATCCGAGAGAAAGCAGAGGGAACAAAAGACGTCAGCGTTATACTTGATCCGCGAGACTCTGGATGAGAAGGGCCGATGTTAGGCCCTGGATGAGGACTGTATGCTGGTCCACGGCCGAGCCACGCGAAGAGCGGCTTGGTCGCGGATACCATGCAATTAAAGGGAATCTCGACTCGCGCGGGACACGAAGAGGGCGTTATGGGTTTTGGAAGGGAGACTCCCGAGAGAAGCGGGATCTACGGACACCGTCAGTCGGCACCATGCATGCCATCGCTACAGCTGACAATCTGCCAGGCCGCACTGGCAAAAGACCCGCGAAGCGTCGTCCGCCTGCATCGGAGCTCCACGGGTCGGCTTTGAGGCGGTAATGGTCCGACAGCTCCCAAGCAAGCGAAACAACCTTCAACGACAGACTCGCTGCCCGAGAGCCAGGATGTCGGCAGCGTCTCACGTCGCCAGTGACAGGATAAGAAGCACACGACGTCTCTTTCGATGGGCTTGTTTGCCTCCACGCGAGCGGCTTGGCTTTGTCGTAGCATGAACTGTGCGTGAGCGTCGATCGTTTCGAGAGCCACAGCTGATGCTGCTTCAAAGCCAGTGCGCTGGCGCTAGGAACTGCAGGTCCGAGTTTCAACAGTGACTATACAGTATCAGGCAGTAAATCGGGACTCACCTTTCATTTTATCGCTGCCGCGCCGCGTTTTGACGAACTTGAGCAGCGTGCCCGCTTTGGAGGTAACCAGGCAAGCAGGGAAGCCGGCCGGCCTTCGCGGTCTCGCCGACTGGTCGGTGCGAGGCGCGTCCGGAGCGGGCGACGGCGGGGCGCGTCCTCGCATGCAGACCGAGTAGCGGCCGACTGGCGCGAGCTCGTTTCCTGGACGGAGTTGGACGGGCGGCCGACGCGTCCGATCGCCCCCTATGGCAGCCTGACACGGATCTCACGCTTCATGGGACACAAGGGCGTCCGAGCAGCGGCTGGATTACGCTTCACGTGGGTCGATACCGCCGAGACACGTCGGAACATCCTACGTACGAGATAACATGTCGCTTCCCGAGCGAGTCTTGCCGCTTCCCGCGGAAGGACAGACCACTTGAGCCTACGCGTCTTTCACTTCCGCGATCGGGTGCTCCTGAAGCTGTCTTATAAATCGCGACGTCCGGGCCGACCTGTCAGAAGCAACGACTCGCAGGGCGATGCGGCGACACCACCAATCTTTCTGCTCCCAAGATCTCAATAAACGCGCCGCGTCGTCCTTTCCACGTGACCTTTTGGGAGGAACCAGGAGCAAAACGGAAGGACGTTCACAAACGCGGCCTTCGACCGATCAGACGGATCAGTGAAAAAAAGCAGTTCCTAAACGAGTCGTAAAGAACCGCCGCCGCGGGGTGAAAGAACCGTGCGATCCTCCCTGCGAGCACCTCCCACGGGTGGCGGACGGCCCGACGTGGTTCCTCCGTGTTCCTCACCAGAGCGAGACTAGCCGAGAGAGCGCGACGCGCAAGGCGCAGCCACCCGAACGGGCTCCCAGATGAGAGTGTACGACGTCGCGCTCGTTTGACGACGCCGTTAAGCCAACCCACATGGAACCGTCCAGGGGGAGACCTCCGCTGCAGCGACACACAGTTCCGGCCCGCCTTGGCCGACCCTCGAGACTATCTTCCGCGCTCGCGGTCACAGCTGCCTGCCTGCGGACTGGACGGACCAATTAGCGACGTAAACTCGGGCTCCAAGACGACGGCACTCGCCAAAGCGCAGCGGTCAGTGGGGATGGGGGCGACACGAGCACTTAATTGGGTCATGCGAGCCTTTCTTCCAGTGCTGGACGTCCACACGATCAGCGGTACGCCGAAGAAGGACCCAGGCGCTCGTGTGCACCGCCCCGCGGCGTCGTCGTCCGGTGTGCCGTAATTGGCAAAGTCACAATGGCCACCTTGGGAGTCCACCAGGTCGGGCACAATGCGCGGGAGTCGGACCGCGCAGCCGGCCTTCGCGGACAATGGCAGATCTCGAGCGTCTTCGCGATGTCGCGACACAAGAGGCCCGAAGTGCGTACGGTACTTCTTTTCAAGGGAGCGAGGATATGTGGCCGAGAGGGTGCTTCTCGGATGTCCTCTTTGGTGCTGGAGTACCAGCGATGTGTCGTTAATGCGCGGTGCAAGAACATGACTTCCAGTGACACTGCGTTCACCAAAAGCTTCGCGGTTGTAGGATAAACAACCATGTCGGTTCCTCGGGCCAACGGCGCGTGCATTTCATTTCTATCAAGTATCTTCCTTTCTACCCGTAATCTCCCTTTTTCGAAATCATGGTGCAGTAGTTAAATTGGGGGAAGGGGAAAGGGGGAGCACGCGGTGTAGCGAAAGCTTGCGCTGCACCACCGGGCTCCTGTGTTCAATCTCCATCCCTTCCCGTTTCGACTGGATGAGTATCGTGGCGTACGGTAGTGTATATCACTACCGCGTGGAGCACGTTGAAGACCCCAGGCTAGCAGTCGTACTGCACTGGCTAAATTTCTCATCTACAGTTTGTATACCATGTCGCCAACACTTTGGCAGACGAAACTCTCATTGAATAGCATAAACAACTAACGACTAATTTTTCTTGTTCTTTTGTTTGACTAAGGGGGGAAGGGGTGAGCGCGCCGTCTCGGGCGTGGCACTTCGAGAGGAATGTGGCAGGCGGTGCTGCAGCACACATTGGCTGTAAATAAAAATATTTGCATTGTGTGTATGTTTATACAGCAGGAAGTTAGGACCTGCCTCAATGATCGACTTGTCTCTCAGGTGTAGAGGAAAAATGTAACCAAAGCAGTACAACCGCTAGCCTGGGGTCTTTAACGTGAACTACGCAGTAGTGATACATGACCGCACGCCGGTACGAGGCTCATTCAGATCGAAACGGGCAGGGGTGGGGATTGAATCACTGATCTCTATAGGACAGTTTGCTGGATCGCGCTTGACTGCTCCTCGAATGCGGCCACCGGAAGTTCCGAAGCGGTCATCTTGGGCCTGTGTGAATCTGCTTGGTGAAGCGTTGCAGAGGCTGGGTGGCTGCGAAAGACACGTTTTCTGCTCGTTCGCCGTTATTCGCCGAAGAAGTTTGAAAACCCTGTGTACACGGTCGTAGCTGCCTTTGAAAGCCCGTGGAAATTTTTACGAAAGCGCTGCACCGCAGGAAAAAGGCATAATAAGTACGCGCGACACGGCTTCAAGCCTGTGTAAACGGTCGTATAGCTGCATTTGAGAACCGGTGGGATTGTGTACGGAAGTGCAGCTCGGCAGGAAAAAGGCACAATTCACTCAACGCGAGTCTCGCGGTCAGGCGGCGTGATCAAAGGACATGCCTTGGCACGCCGAAGTGCTATGTCTCAGTGCCTTCGCAAGTTTTGATACCGATCAAGAATCGACGCCGTGTGGATGTGTTAAACCTCCGGGAAAGATTTGAAGCTGTGCCGCGCGTACATAACTGCTGAATACATATTGGTCGCGGAGTTCTGGGTTGTCCAGCTTCTCTGGCGAGTTGCAATCACTGACCAGTGGTTGCTATCAGTAAAAAAAAAAAAAAAACATTCGGTGGCTGCTATCATGGATACTATGGATATGTTCGAATATACTCGGATGGATCCGAAGTACTCACGCCACATGGAAACACAGATAGAGCAACGCAGTGGAGCAGCGCTAGACGGGAGGTATGGCCCACGAGTACCACAAGTTACAACTAGTGCAGTCGCCGAAGTAAAGTAAAACGCTGCTCCTGAGGCACATACGCCTTCACGCACGCTGCACTCGCGATTTTTTTCCGAAGAGCTAACACGGCGTCCATGCTTGGTTGGTATCCGAGTGTGCGAAAGCACAGAGACCACAACCGCAGTCAGCGTGAGAGGCATCAACCTTGCTTATGACCTTGAGTACGGTCACCCGGTGAAGCTCGTGAAGGTATGTTGTGAAAAATGCGTTCAGGAACTTTTCTCGACGGTACTACCGTGAACCTACCTGGCTAAAGGAGTCGGTCATAGTCTCGGCTTCCTTAATCATCGATTACTTTTTTCAGGGGTCCGCCTAGATTAATTTAATACCGCAAAGTTCGTCTCTCTCTCTAGATTTCCCATACAAACTGACCAGAATTTTAATCGCAATCGGAACCAACTTCCGCTCTTTTTTAGGCTCTTTTTTTGTGTCGAGGTGATGTCAACGCTCATCAAGAACCCATGTCAGGAGGCACTTTGATAACTGCGCGCTCATTTGTATTTTATGGCGAGAAAACGAATTTTCTCATTGAAATGTTTACAGGGTACTGGCGTCCGGATATAGATGGCGCAAGTGGACAATGTCCGTGACTGTTGGGCATGCTATATATTTTCTCCTTAATACTGCAGTGGCCACATTTAAAATTCCGCCAAATGCCCCCTCCACCTTTTCTCTAGTTTCTAAAGTCCATCTTAAATCGAATTATAAAACTTAACTCTATATACTATATGTATTCTTCATAGTTTTAAAGACACGTGTTTACTCGCATTTGTTATATTTTCGACATTTTCATGAATGTCTCTCCTTTCTTATTGCACCTCACTTTCAATTTATGGGCCAGTGCCGTCGCTAGGCTGCCGGATTACTCAAACATAACTTATTTACTCGCTTTCTCTCTTTCTTTTTGTTTGTACAAATTATGTACAAACATGTACAAAATATATTTTAAATCCTGGGTAAAAAGAATAAGACCTTCCTGCTTTTTTTTCGGCGGCTTTCGAATTTCATTTCTATTTTATAGAACTAACCAATCAAAAATGAAATTCGAAAGCCACCAAAAAGCAAGCACCAAGTTGATTAATTTGCAAGTTTAAGGTGCGCTTCTTTTTTCTTTTTTTATCAATTGCGGTTGAGAATAATTTTAGAAATAGATTATGGACAGGGCCGCTTTCAACGGACTTCTTGCAAAATCGAAGCGATCCTAGCGGCGTAGTGCCGCGCGAAGCATCTTGTGTACATTTTGGCCACCGTTTCCGTTTCGATTTGCGTACCTCAATTCACGGCATCCCGTCACGATATTGGTGTTGCCTACTGTTAAGTTTGTAGACATCCTGCTTATTAGTTAGGGTGATTTTTGTTAGGAAAGTTTATCTTTCCAGAGTTGCGTCGGCATTTTTTTTTTTTTTTAGCTTTCTATGTTTGTGTCGGCGGGGCCAGAGCGGCCGGAGTGCGGGAGCGGTTCCCCCCGCGGTCGTTAAGAAGCGTCTCGGGTTTCGGGAGTCCGCTCGGACCGGGACCGGGAGAGCCCCCGCCTGGAGAAGCGTGTAGCTTTTAGCCGAATGTGCCTGTATATAGAGGGTTTTGCCGCTTATCGTAAAATTGTCGCTTTTTACCCGATGTAATAATTTAGCTGTTGGCGCCAGCCCGTCTGCGTAAAATGCAGGGGTTGATTCTAGAAAGAATTTGGATTTGGCGGTTGGAAGTGCCAGGCTGACAGCTCGCCGACCATTGGAGAACAGTGTACCACGTGGGAGTGGTGAAATTTCAAGGGATTGGTTGGACCCTGAGGGGAAAGGAGGCCCCTACGAGGCTACAAAAGGATCCCCGAGAGGGATTCTGAGGATTGGCTTCGATTCGATTTTGGGAGACTGGGAACAAAAGTACGGGGTTTAATTTTGGGATTTTTAACTCACTGTCGAGTTATTTTGTTTCATAATAAACGTGGCCACACTGGCCACTGTAAAGCCAACCAACGTCGCAATGTGTTCAGCGGGATCGAACAACTTTTAGTTTTTTTTTTTATTATCAACTTCCCGGGGGCTGTCATCGGGCGAGCACCGTCATCGGTCGTCACCATCCGGACCAGGAC